TGGTTCAGTACATTGTGCATATTGGGTTAATGGGCTTGGAAGGGACCTGGATACGGCATGGAGGGCATGAGTCAGACCTTTTGAATTTACCTCCCAAAAGGATCCTAAATCGAAATTCTCCCAAGTGACTATGAGCCATGAGATAAGTAAAAACAAGTTTGACTTCAGATAAATTGCAGGGGGAGATGAGTTGCCTATCTCCACAAAGGAACCAGCTAATTCAAAATTACAGGGTACAGTGTTGCTGCCCACAACTTATAATGGAAGTCCTGGAATCCAGTCACAGACAATGTTTTTAAATGACTCTGGAGTCATTTAAATGATTCCATGAAAATCCTGGCCTTACTGTCCTAGGCGGCTTGCTTCCAGGTTCTTGTTTAAATAGCTCAAATGCTGATTGAACACTAATTACTGCTGGTAGGAAAGAATTGACTTGAATGATCTTTCTGTTCCTGATCACTGGCTACCTCTACATTGATAAATTGGGATTCTATTCTGAGCATGAGATCAATGCCATTGTGTGTCTGACCTCTGATATAAATGGGCATTAGTAATGTCCTACACTTTGAAGAATTTTGTCATGTGCAAATAAAGCCAAGTCCTCTGGTTCTGCTGTCATGTATCCAGGGAAAGAATGACATAGCTGTTTATCCTGGTGAGCAGTCCTTCTGTGATATTTTGATACATCTGTGCACTGCAGATTAACCAATAATATTGTGTCTCCTGTGACAACTTGGAATTGGCCAGAGGCGTAAATGTTTATGGCTGCCAAAATCTTTGTGTCATTGTTGTGGAGGTTGCCTGCAAGTTGAATGGCACACCTCTGCCGCTGCTTCCAGGTGAAGTGTTACTTTAGAGAAAGATGGCATAGGTGAAACTTTATTGTGAGCATGTTATCGCATTTGTAAAAATATGTTCACTTTTCATCATTGTGTGAACAAATGTTATTTTAGCTTGCAACTACAAAAATGAAGGTACAGGCAAAAATCATCTTTTGTATTACACAATGTTCTAATAATGGCTATCCTTTCAATGGCAGCATTAATAGCCTGAAATTTTGTCATGATTCAGTGAGAGAACAGTGGATATTGTGAAGGCTTCAAGGCGTTTGCTAACTAAAATTGTATTAAATAATAGGAAAAGCAATGAAAGATTAAACCAGTCAACTGCACTTGTACTTGGCATTGCACAGGGAATGCTGGCCTCTGTAGGACCAAAATATTTACAGTCAATGAAAGATAACCTCACAAATTGAATGAGTTTCACAAAGAGGTTCTGCCTGCATTGCTTGTGGCTGACACTGCTGTGTCTAGGATGCTGAAGATGATGTTCATCTGAAAAATGTCTTCATGTTTTTCCTCAGTACAAAGCTGCAGTTCTCACAAATCCTCATCATCAATCATATAGCCTTGGTGCATTCTCTAGTTATCCAGATCAAAATTCAACAGTGTCCTTTGTCTACACAGTGCTGTAATGAATACCTAGATATGAACTGCATGGAAATCTGATGTGGAGGAGACATCTTATGGTTCTTGTTGGCCCCAGTAGAAAACAGTGTTGCATTGTAGATATGCTGAACATCATGATATGGCATTCGGACCACTGTTTCCAAAGTAAGTATTGTGCCACTGTCTTTCTGTCATCTGCATGGCATTCTGTGGGTGCCAAAAGACTGTAGCTGTTCTGCATTTTCACAGCATCATTAAGGCATCTTTGGCCTTAACCCTGCATTAAGCGGCTGTTCCACATCCACTGGAAGTTGATGCTGGCCCTGGACTTCCAGACTCATGTGTTTCTCATCCATTCATGTGGATGCTCCAAGTTTAGTGGCCAAAGTAACAACCACAGCTTCTGGGGATGGTTCCAATGGGTCTATGTAGGCAGTATTGGAAACAAAGCAATCTGTTACACCATATTCAAATAATATTTGAACAGCATCCTACAAACACTGGGAAATGGAGGTCACCTGCTAGGAGGCCAATGGGGTGCCAACACATGGACAGTGCACATCATTAGCCTGATTCAGATGTGTGCCAGTCAAACCTTTTGGTGCACATGCAGTAGCAGCTTGTATGAGTTGCAGCAAAAATGAGAGCCTCTCACCCTACTCCCAACCCCCACAGTACCCAAGAAAGATGGTATTGCATACTGGATAATGGTGTGGACATTTCATGGTCCAAGGGGTGAAGTGAGTCGCTCCTGCATCTTGTGCATACTATGGAACCTGATAGGTGATTGTGACTTCTGCAACTGAGATGAAAGCTTACAACCTCAATGATTTTATTTGTGCTTCACAGCTAATTGTAGGATTGATTTGTGATGTTGCATGATATGGTCATGATTGCTTGTGGTCAGGATTTTTGGTTGGCACAGTTGGTCAACGCATGGCTCTATATACAGAATCATGTGACAACAGATGTCTTTGTGTCTAGCATGGCTGCCTCACCACCATAAGGGCTTCAAATTGCACAAAACTAGAATCTGCTTCTGCAGAGAAAGGAAAACATTTACTCTGCCCACTCCAGGTGTGTTGGCAGCCATTTTCTATTTTGATTGAGCCATTGTTATTTGGATAAGGCTGAAAGGAACACAGGTAGCATTTTACAATGTGAGTGGCAGGCTCAGCCTCTCAATCTGGATGACCTCCCAAATCTTCATGTACCTTTCTACCTTGCCTTCCCACTCAACCTTGTTGGTTTTGACCTTCCAGATGTTTCCACATAACTTGTTTTAAATTTAACTCTTCATTTCCCCACGTTACACCCTGAGCCTCAGGCATGCAGCTTAGTCATGCCAAATATTATTCTGCACATCCATCCACTGAAGTTGGTGAACGTCGACAACCTCCTATCCAATAGTACCCCTTAAGCCACCATGCCTGATAATCTACTCTAATGAGTTGGCTTGGCTTCCCTTTCACAATTATTATCCCCTCTATATTCCAACTTGTTGCCTCCAATTCTCAAAATTGTCTTGCTCACTTTACCTACTGCCGCAGTAGCACCTGATAACCCTTTTTGACGTTCAATGAACAGCCCCATTAGACGGATTATTGCCCACTACCTGACAAACTTGGAAAGATAACCTTGACTGATGAGTGAATTAGACCCTGAATGATCTCTGTGCAACTCCCTGACTGACTTACTACTGATCCCTGGACTAGTTGCACTGGACCTGCAGGACACCTGGACTGTAGTGACATGGAGCGCCAATCCTGAACACCCCAAGCTCTTAAATGATCATATCTAAACCCCTGTACTGAGGTCAGATGCTGCCCTTGACTGACTGTGCTAGTACACCCTGACTGCAGGCTGTTCCTCTTTACTTAACTAAGAACTACTCCCATTAGATCTTGAGGCAAGGATATTTGGTTGAAGCATGTGCAGTGTGTTTGCTGCATATGCTGCTGACACATGCTGGAGGTGTGACATTGATGTACTGTGATGCTATAAAGCAACATGCCCACCCCCATTGGCTGATCACTGCTGAAAACCATGACAATCTGGCTGGCTTTATATCTACACTAAGAACAAGGCAAGACTGTGAAGCCTATAAGTTCTGAATGAGTTGCAAAGTGCCAAAAGCAAAGGCAGAATAAGGCAGAGATGCTGTGAGCTTCCAAGTAATTGGAGAGTGTGTAAGAACTAACAGAGCAAGCTGACAACTCTGAGATGTACCCTGCTCTGATGCATGTGATGGATGTTTGTCCCTTCATGCAAAGTGGCCTGACAGGAGCATCACAATGCAAGGTGTCATTGCATTCCAAAGTACAGCATTAAAGTAAATGACTGTATTTTGAGTGAGTCAGAGTTGTGCCATGATGATGTGATGTGGTTGGTATATGCCTGATACCATTTCAGTAGCAGGTAGAGCATAGGGAGCCACTGCCCATGGAGCATACCCTGAACTGTTGGGGAATACTGGCTGAGTTGGAGTCCCAGAGGAACAAGTAGTGAGCTGAACCCACCCATTCTGATTTTCATGAGAAGAGCAAACTATATATAGGTGGTTGAAATAAGTAATAGTGAGATGTTAATGTGTGCAAATTGATGCCTCTGCATTCACTGATGTGGTTCTTGTCTCACAGTTCAAATTTTGGTTGGAAAATTGGACGTTTTGTTCAATGTCAAGAAGCTCATTTTTCCAATCCCACCATATTTTCGCAACTGACTTGTCATTGTCATTGTCACTGTCACTCGGAGGCTGGGGAAATATATCCGCTGCTTACTCTGTTTTGAGTCAAGCAATGTTGAGATAGAGATTTCAAAAAATAACTATAGGTGTAAGGTGATCACATTAAGTACTAGGTCAACTTTCAGTCTTTCTACTTGCTTGTTTAATGGAAGAAAGAAATTTGACCATGTATTTTTTTTCCCTGTTCTTTTCTATGCAATGACAAAGGGTATTTCACTAGAAAATTGAATCAGTTTATCATTTCAAATGGGAAAAAAAAACACCTCTACTTATTAGATACAGATATTGAGTATGGTGAAAGTGCCATTTAGGCTTTTTGATGACTTTGCACCATTTGTATTACATTTTCTCCTTTGACAAAATCAGCTATTCCTAGTTATAAAATGAATTGTTCACAAATGGTGACTGCTTTCAAAATCCAGACCTTGCTATTAAAGTCAATGTCAATGGTTCTTTTTTCACTTGCATGGAATCAGCTAGCCTCGACAGCCCCAAGATAAAACACATAAGACCATTCCTTTTGGAAGAAGAATTCATACAACTGTTGGCAATATCTACAGCCTAAAAAGGAAGATGTATTCAAATTATCTTTCTGCCTTCTGTTTCCACTGCCTTTACATCTATCATCTGAAGAGCTGTGTCAAAAATGCTTAACGTTGAAAATTCAATCTCCAAAAGCAAATTTGCCTTCTATTAACACCAGAGTTTAGAAACAATTTATCTGTGACCTTTTGTATTTATTCTGTGAAATGTTTACCCTAGATGATGCGTCAAATGATGAATTTTGTTCTCTCTCTTCCCTCCAGCATGTGCATGTTCACATTCTCCCAAGAAAGAAAGGAGACTTTTCAAGAAATGATAATGTCTACGAAGAGGTAATTTTTAAAAGTAAATCTTGAATTGAAAGTATTAAAATGCTGTTCATTTAAAGCCATCATATTGTTTGACCTAGCTGCAAACTCATCCCACTCAGGAGGCAGGCTAGAAGCCAGGCAAACAAATTCACTAATTATAGGCTCAATTAGTTTTACCTTCACAGGTGGCCTGCGGCTTACCAGTGGCAGATTTGTCCCATTCTGCGGTGGAAGGCCAGCAACTGTAGGGAGGCAGCTCCCTGTGGCAGCTCAAACCCAGGAATGTGGCGGTGAATCTGTGAAACTCTTTACCTGAGAGGCTTGTTGCGACTGACTACTTTAGATATCCAAGGCTGAGATAGACAGATAGATTTCTAATCATTGCGTGAATGAAGGGTTATGAGGAGAAGGTAAGAAAGTGAAGCTGAGCATTACCATGTCAGCCGTGATCTCACACAATGGTGGAGTGGACTTGATGGGCCAGATAGCCTACTTCTGCTCCTTATTCTAGTCTTCTCAATGTCCAGTGCCATTAGCCCCAGGAAGAGGGCAGCTGGCAGCAATAGTAGCTGCACCAAGACAGAAGAATGAAGTGTCTTTCTCCCCTGCAAGGACACCTTAAGATGACAACCTTACCTCAGCAGCCACTACCTCTTTCGGAGGTGCTATTGAGTGGTAGTTTCTGATTGAGTTGGCAGCATAGAACACCTGTCCACCATCCTCATTTGGACAGCTGGCCTGGCAGCTGCCAAATAAAGGAATAGTTCCCTGGAAGGCTGCCACTGTGGTCCCAACATCAGCATTTAACCTCTTCCAAGAAAACATAGGCCACATAGCTTGATTTCAGGGATTGAAGTATCTAATTTGCAGCTTAACATATATCTGTTTAAGCAGCGCAGATAATTTCCCCCCATCATAATAGAGAACCATTCAATTTGCAAAATCACACTCAAACCTAGCTCTTAATCAAGGATTCTATTCTGGGGAATAAAACAGTATGCTAAACAAAATAATTTCCTACCTTTTTATGTTCACCCACAGGTAATATATACTTATTGCATATAGAAATCATAGCTTCTTGACTAATCTGAGTGAATTATATCAGTTCCACGAAATAGGATTGGTGATTGAAAAATAACAGTTAAGTGTAAACTTCTGTTTCAGAAATGTCATGAGATACCTTAACTTTAGTATTTAACAAAATACGTACTTTCAATCTTCTGACAGATGTATCTGAAGGTTATTCAGAAGTAAAGTCACTTTGTGTTGTACATGTTCTTGTGAAATGTTATTCTGTGCAGAAGTATCACCTCACCTATATCATAGAGCTACTGCTGAAGTTGGGATTGCGAGTGACAGCACTCTCCAATATTACATGAATATTGTATTGAATGATTCCACCATTTTCAAAGCAGTTGTTTTTATATAAGGTTGTTTGAAATGTTGGTTCAGGCACTATTTTCATTTAAATGCAAACCATTTCTAGGCAAACTGATTGAGGTCGATCTTGACTTTTTGTGATTGTGTAAAACAGGTGCCAGCTTGATTTTATGTCTTTCCCAATTTTTATCTCCAGAGGAGCCAGTGGACCTAAAAATTGTGGGAGATATAAATCAGGCTGCTGATTTGTTCTTACCAATTTTACTCTATCACACAAAGTCAAAATCTACTGCAATGTGTGTTTACTATTATTTGACTGTACTTCAGAATTAGATTGGTCTTAAAACAAATATAACTTCTCTGAATAGTTTACTTTTGAAATATTCCAAACAGTTGATGCACTCAGGACTGGCTTGAATATTGATGAACAGTGTTCCTAATTATCCTTTGAAATTTCATTGGTTAGTTTGAAGTGGACTAAAGCATTCAAACTGAAAACATATCCATAACTGACTACTTTTAAGATTTGAGCCTGATCAGATTATTGGGTAAAAGATTTGGTGCCTCACCATGCAGAAGCATACAAACGTAGAATACTGTTGGGTAAGGACAGGGATCCTTGGAGGGGAGGGTAGTTTAGTGGTCATGTAAACTTCAGAGGTGAGAGTAAGGGTTCCTTTAAAGGGGTGGAATCATTTGCCCTTTGGGACTGTTAATTGTGGGGAGGATTGCATGTAGAAGATCCAGAAATGCATTGCAACTGTTGGATCTGTCAAGATGAGTCTCAAAGTGTCAGTAAGTGCTGACCATCAAAAAGTGTTCAGAAGTAACAAGCGTCGAAACTGTATTTTTAATGAATCAGTGTATTAGTCTCAATATAATGCAGTCTACAGTATAGGACTTTAACTAAAAGAGCTATATTTCCCCCATGTGCTTGAGTGTTTATGGATACATGATAAATGAAGGAGATTTTAAAACTACCATTTTCAGAATGAGCTTCCTGATGATGTACAGTTCTAAATACTAATTGAAAGGAAATATTTATTGGTATAAGAGACTAAGCACTTAAGGATTAAGTTTTAAGTAAAATGTTTGTTTTCATAAGAGATTATTTGAAGCAGTTTCAATGTATTGGTTTATTTGCATCATTTAGTTTTCTTTTAACAGTGACATCACCAATAAATTCTAACTTTATATTCTCTCAGCCTATCTCCTGAGTTATGCCTGTGCTGAATAGTAAGGAACTTACCATGGAGAGGGAAGGCTAAAGGGCAGTGGTTGGGGGTTATGAGTTGACACTGATTTGGTCAACATCTAGCTTGTTAGGTACATTTGGTAAGAGGAAACTGAATATATTGAGGTGTGTTGTGGCATTAGTAAGCTGCTTAACAAGCTATAATCCTCTTAATTGGTAGCTTGCTGCTGCCTCGCAATAAATACACCTTGCCACTTAGCTAATGCATAAATGATGTAGCAAATTGATCCTGATGGCGAGATAGGGCTCGCTGGGCTTCTCACAAGATTCTGACACCAATCTCACTATAGCACGCATCATTCAGGCCCCTGTAAATTTCTACCTTGAGTTATTTTTTGGATCAGTTTCGTGGATACTTTGAGGCAGACTGGCACGAGGAGTCTTGGGTTGGGAAAAGGTTGCCTAAAAACAGCATTTGGATTAGTCCAGCTGCAATTTGTTACAGACTTGTAAGTGCAATATGCCTGGAAGCCTGCCAGCAGGAAACGTTTCTCTCAATTTTTCTCTGTGAGTGAAAAGTCAAAAACAAAACCTAGAGACTCCAAAAAAAGGTTTCTGATACAAGAAAATATCTTGATCCACCTGCACAGCTATTCAATTAAAGATCAACCATTGCTCTGCAGACAACATTGTGTACCCATTACTAAAATCCAAAAGACTATAAGAAATAACTCTCCATTCTTGTGACCAGAACTCTTGAACTACAGAATTTGTTTTTCCTGTTTCTGTGTTTCTATCCATTATGTTTGTGCCAACTGTCTTCTTTTTGTCTATCTTATTTGTGAATAAATATATTTGTGTTTAGGGTTTTAAAGAGGGATAACTTATTTACATAGTAGTAAATTTCTTGTATTTCTATTAGAGTAAATGAGTTTACAATAATAACATTTGTTTTATTATCAATGATGTAGTTTGGTGTCAATTGATTTTATTCTGAATTACAGGTCTGTCAGGCAAATTGATCATCTTGGTGGTTTAATTGGTGACAGCTTGTGGAATAGTGGGATTTGATTTTTGGCAAGTTTCTTCCAATTGTGTTGTGACAAAAGTTTGGGGCTCATCTGGAATCTTTGAGCACAGATAATGTAAGATTGTATGTGGAACAAGGGAATTAGCAAAGGATCAAAGAATAGAAACCTGCTTTCTCATAGTATAAGGTGGCCTTGACAGCAGCTAAAACTATGCTGCAGTTGGAAGATTTAACACTGATGGATTTACAAAACTTCATAAAAGATAAGCTGATAGAATTGGTTGCTAGAACCAAGAGGCAGGGGTAATTGAAATATTGTCAAAATATTGTCTAGGTTGGTGGAAATGCAGGGGGGAGTGGTGAGTCGCTTGAGTTCATGAGAATATAATTATAATTAAAGAAGGTTGAACGTGAGATAGAATTAAGGCAGTTTGAAATGAAAAGGGAAATGGAGCTTAAAATGCCTTAACTTGAACTTCAGAGACAGGAGAAAAGTAAAGGGAGAGCATTTAAAAGTCTGGAGCTAGTGATTCAAGAGAGAAAAGGACAAAGAGAGGAAATTGCGAAAAGAATGCCAGCTCAGGTATGCAAGTTTAAAAAGAGATGTCAGCTGTAGAAGAGATAGTGGGAACTGCCAATGCTGGAGAATCTGAGATAACAAGGTGTAGAGCTGGATGAACACAGCAGGCCAAGCAGGAAAGCTGACGTTTTGGGTCTGGACACTTCTTCAGAAAATCATGGTCATATGGTTATTTTCTGAAGAAGGGTCCAGACCCGAAACGTCAGCTTTCCCACTCCTCCTGCTGTGTTCATCCAGCTCTATACCTTGTTATCTCAGCTGTAGAAAAGTTCATTATGTGAAAAGTCCTTATCACAATCACAAGTCTGGTACAGAAATACTTAAATTTGCACAAGCCCTACCAAACTTTGAGGAGAAGAATATGGAATCATTCTTTGTCATTTTCAGAAAATAGTGAAACGAATGAAGTGGCTGAAGGAACTCTGGGTACTGCTGACACAGAGCAAGTTGATTGATACATCACATGAAATTTATACATTACTGTCACAGGAGGTTTCTGTGGATTATGATGCTCTTTAACAAAAAGGCTATTCTCTGTGTGTGTGTGTGTGTGTGTGTGTGTGTGTGTTAGTTCCTAAAGCACAGGGGCAAACCTTTCAAAATATAAAGATAAAGCCTGGGGATATCTATGTTGAATTTGAAAATGGAAATCAAAGTCATTTTGATCAGTGGTTATGGTCGTTAGGAGTAAATGCCTATGTATGAAGGTCTCAGAGAAATTATTCTTTCGGAAGAATGTAGAAACTCATTAATTATTGGAAAACCAGAAGATAGTAACTGCAAGATAAGCAGGCTTCCTTAAACCAGAAAAGAAGGAGCTGAGGGTGGAAGTGAAA